TTTCATCGATAACTGCGCCAATTGGCGACGTTCTGCAAAAAAAACGAGTGCCCAAGCCTACTCCTAATAGGTGAACACTTCTCGCGTCGTTGTTTCCTTGCACCAACCCCTAAGCCACTCGTTCACACCCGCTTTGTCCTCTCTTTGCGGCGGGACACGTACGTGTGTGTCGGTTTGGTTCTGCTGCTACGTGTGTGTCGGTCGGTTTGGTTCTGCTGCTGCTGTGTTCTTTTTTTGACCTCGTCCACACCGAGTGGCCAACTTTGGCACGTGTTCAGACCAGCTACCACGCATCTCCTCCTCTACAGCTCGCGGCTTTCACTATCTGCATATCACAGAGGGTGTTCGCGTGTGGTTTGCAGACCACGACATGGCGTAGTGAGGAGGGGCTCGCGATCGGCGACAACTCGCGTGCTAGTTCAAATATTCTGCTGCTGCTGTGTTCTGAGTGGAGGGGCATTTTTTTCGACTTATTCATTTATTAACGCATACGGAGTGCTGACAACAACGATTCGCATCAACAACATCGCATCAACAACATTTCGGGTGTGTACCAAAACAAAAGCAACACATATTCACGGGGGGCGCACGACCCAGCCTACTGCAGGTACTTTCCGCAGCAAGGGTTATGCTGTTGTGATGGTGCGCGCGGAAAAAACTCCTCCCACTCGGGGTCTAGTATCGCGAGAAGGGTTCAGCCGTCCCTTTCCATCGTCAACCATGCTGACGTCGAAGTTTGGTAGTCACGAGAGCTTTTTAGCTGTACTTCGCTTTCACCCGCAAATTTTGTAAATATTTCACCCCATCGGGATTAGAACTCACGACCTCTGCGACTAGCGTATTACGAGGATACCACTAGACCACCGGGGCAACCGTGGAAGATGCGCAATCGCGTCAGTCACATAAGGGTTAAATCGGGGTCAATGGTATACCGTATATGACCCAAGATAAAACACCCCCTTGACCAATTTTCGAAGCTTGATTTCTCAACTGCGGGAATAGTCACAGCGCTGAAAACGGTGGCGTTGAAACCGTCTTGTCTAGTGCTTTTCGAAAATGTATCCTTTCGTTTATGAATCCTCTTCGTCGTGGAGTAATCGACCTTTGAAAATCGGTCCACGGGGGTGTGTTATCTTGTGTCATATTCGGTATGTTGTCATAACCATTGAGCGGGCTGTTGGCTCGTTGTTGGTGAATCTCTGCCCTTCGAAATTTCTCAGAAAACGCCTTGCGCCCACAATCGCTCACGTCACCTTAGACTACCCCCTTCGACCAAACACGATGCCACGTCGCCCATCACCTGTTACAACTTACAACTCGTCTCAAACCACCTTTTTCAAAGCAGGAGCCTGGGAGCCTTCGTCCGTTCACGCCCAGCGTCTCTTTAACGTAAGTGGTGGGTGTGTGCATGGCAATATCCATACCTCCGAGGAATGAAAGCAGACCTGCAGGCTTCTTGGACGGCAATGCGTAGGTCATCCCACCGAGAATATGCATAGGATAATCGTGCAACACTTGCTCGGAGCTCAACATTCCCCAACGCCCCGTTGCTTCCCTCAGTACCGCCGTGTCATCGCTGTGGGCTCAGTGCTTAACCATCGTCAGCAAACACCGGGCGCCCCCACCCGTATTGCTCGTAAGCTCTCCCCGTGGCTGCCGAACGATGTGGTGAGGCAATGAGAGAGGGGTGGGCCTGTGTAGCGTACAGGACACAAACGCGTATTGCTGATTTGAAGCGGATTGATTGGTGTGTGTTGCAAGTTCTGAAAAACTTCTGGGACAGCGGACACCAACAGCGGAAGGGGGAAAGGGAGAGAGCAGAGAGGGAGGGAGGGAGGAAGGAATACCGGGAGAGACAGGCATTTGGGCTCCAGCACTCATCGACGAAGGCACCCACATTGTGCATCGTTCATGGTTGGTTGTGGTTTTGGCGCTGACGAGCCGGCACACACACCGGAAGCTGCTGTCTTGAAGGTTGCACTTTTCAACAACAACCATATACGATAGTGATGAATTCATAGGGGTGTATTCGGAAGGGGGACGAGGGACGTACTTGGGAGAGACATGCTTGAACCGAGCTGCTTGAACTCTTGGAACCTTTCACACACAAGAAAGACGCACACAACGGCCTTTTGCTGGCTTCTATTCTGATTCATCATTGTCGGCAAGAATCTAAGGTACAGCTGTAGCATGACGTGTGCTGTTCCCTCGTGCAAGTTGTATGTGTGCAAAGTTTATACCGCACAGCAGCACAGCAGGATGCAAAACTGCCTTGTTGAGCCTGTTATCCACAGGGGAGTTATCGTTGTAAGCTGTCTGGGAAACTGTAGACATACAGGTAGCCTTTCGCTCACGCTATGGATTCATTGCTAACCTATCTTAGACGTATTTCTATAGGTAGAGATGGATTTGTTGTGTGATATCAAGAAGAAAAAAAAAAATAGGCATGCTGCTTCGGACTCACTTGATGAAACAAAACATGGAAAACAACCTTCCGATCTTCTGGCTGAAAACATGCTTTGGATGCCTTATTCCAAAACAGAGAGGGAATTCACGGAGCAGGGACATGCATCGGCAACCCCTCCTTGTGAGTAGCTGCGTCGAGAATATGGTGAAAAAAACTGGAATCATACATACCACATCCACATCAAGTGCTGCCGCGCATTTTCCACACTTTCTCCGAATTCGGTGGAAACTTCGGAGAGCAAAGCGGCTGCAATGCTGCTCCTATTCTCGATAAGGCCGAAAATCGAGCGGGGGTGTACTGTGTGCCTAGCTTTCAGTAGTAGATAGGTGTGTTTTTCCATGGATTGCTTCTTGTTGTTGTTGTTGTTGTTGTTGTTGTTGTTGTTGTTGTTGTTCCGATCTCCCTTCCCGGCGCCTTCTGTCTGCACTGATGTACCACTTCACGCGGTCGATTCCCGTTGTCAGTCAAACTTACCCTACAAAGGGGTATACACTCAAATACAACGGACCTCACAAAACAACAAAGAAGCAGACATGGTCAGGGGCCCTCTGCTCCCCTCTACACGAAATATGCAAGGTACAAAATTTATGACTGAGATGTGTAATCACAGGCAGCTCTTAAGGTTCCGGCGGTTAGCTGTCTTAGGGTCCCCTGTACTGCCGGCGGAGTGTTCCGTGTCAGGTTCTCGCCGGTCAGGCAAAGTTGGCAAATACTATCCTCCCAACCAACGAAAAAGAAAAAACATGTGCACCTTATTCGAGGGGAGGAAATCATGGCCCCGTGCTTCCGACGTACTCCCGGACTTCCAGTAGGATGCTGTAGCTGCATGGAGAAAAGAGAGGAACACCTGGGAAAGAAAACAAAGAGAGGAAGGAAACAGACACACCCCATTACCAACGAACAACCCGCATGGTAAAGGTCGCGCTTCGCGCTCCGCGGCTGATTACAAGCATGGCATCGCTCGTGGGGGTTTCGTGCACATGGTGCAGTCATCGGAGAAAGTTAGCCATGGAATTTAATCCGGCACATGATCATGTCACTCGGCCCGCCTTTTCTCGTTTGCTCTTCCCTCGTCGTCTCGTTCATCTGCTGCCCCACTTCCGTCCCATTGGTTGTTTTCCATGTATCTCTTCTATTGTTTGGCTCGTTGTCACGTTTAAGTGCTCGTCGTCGGCTAGTCTCCTCTTCATCCTTGTGCCAGGAGTTGATGAACGTCTCAGCTCCTTGCAGCACCCCCTTATTCGACGGGACTCCCCGCTCCACCTTCACTGCTCCCGTCAAAGTTAGTGCCGGGACTCCGAAAACACATGGCTCGTCGGACGTAGATCCGTGCGTAACCCCGACCGCCTTGAAGTCGCCCCGCAGGCACACCTCCCAGTGTTGCTCGGGTTTTCCCCTGCCTGGGCCCGCCCCTTCCACCAGCTCGCCGGACATCTGTCGTTTCGGGAGTCGCCCATCCGGCTGCCTTGCCAATGCCCCCACGGACAGGCCGTTGCCGAACAGCGACTTCCACGCTCTGGCACCCGAGCCTCTTCAGAGCCTGGGCGTAGGAAAGCTGCCGGTAGTAGGTGCCCGTCTTGTACGCGACAACTCGCAGGAGCAGTCAGTGATACATGGACCGCGGCATCTCGTGGTGTTCGCAACGTGGAACCCATGTCATGCAACCGTGCAGCAGCGCCTCCATCGCCACCGCCTGGAGCGGGCGGACCTTCAGTCGGAATGGTGCTCTCGGTCTGTCGAAGGGCTCCCGGTAAATCTCCTGATGCATGCCCACGCTGCTCTGCTGCTATGGTTGTTTGCCCGGGCGAGGTCGCCATGTTTATTGACGATGCCACCTAGGCACCGCATCTCAGTCGACTGAACGTATTTCTGCCCCGCTGTTTCGATGATAAGCGGTGACGGCAGTGGAGGCGGGGGGAACAGTGGTGTTGTCTGTTTGTCCTTTACGTGCATCAGGAGCATCTCCGTCTTCTTCTCCGATACCGCCAGCTCAAACTCCCGGAACACCTTCAAGATGACGGTCATCGCTCTCGGCAGTCCATCGGCAGGCCTCGATACAACGCCGCCGTCATCGACAAACAATATCCGGACATGCACACTCTATGGAGGGAATCCTGGGCGCTAGATTGTCAAGTTTTCTCCAGAACGTACGCTTGCTGTCGGCGGTGACGACCTCAGTTGAGGCGTACGTAGCAACGAAAATGACCGGTCTGCGGTGGCCTGTCATCTCAAACCTCGTGGCCTTATAAGACATTCATCAAACGTCCACGGTGAACGTGGAGGTCTTGCGCACTGACTCCTGAACAGCTATCCCCACACCATGGACTCAACGTGCTCTTTCTGGGGTTTATTTGCAACAACTCATTTTGAATAACTTCACGCATGTGGCCGTTTGCCCATTATGTTGCTGCTTGCATTCCGACCGTGCGCCCCCGAGGAACTCCTTGATCGCTTGGGTGGCTTTTTCACCTGTGATTGTCCGCAACGTTGATTGATCGAATTGCTTGTACACTATCCTCGAATATTGTCTCGCGTAAATATGTGCAGGAAGCCCGACGCCGTTGTTCCAGAGCACCGCTGGCGCGCACGCATGGTCTGGGTGTCCCTCTTGGTGGGCATCACCGCATGTGAGTAAGCATCCTTCTGTATACTCTTGTCACCCCACTGGGGAAAATTTCTCAGCGCTCGAATACCGTATCTATCTTTGAAAAGTCCTTTCTGCGCATGCCCTAAACGACATATGAGTCGCAATTTCGCTTGTACCTTGGAATCGCTGGGTAGATTGCGACACGATTGTCGCGCAACCCCCTTTTATACGCAGCATATCATTATCTCTGCACTTTTCTGAAGCGGGAAACTTCAAAGCGTCCCGAGAGACTATCTGCTTCTCGCCCCAAGTGACGAAGCCGTCCAGCCTGCCATCTGTCGTATGTCGTGTGGAAGGTCAGCTGGGTCGAAACGATTGCTCACTTCCATCCCAACTCTTCTTCTTCGTCGTCTTAGGTTCCATCCGTCTCCCCTCTCCCCCTCTTCCTCTTTTGTTTCTAAACGCATTTTCTTTCCCTCCCTGCCACGAGCGTCTTCCTTTTCGCCAGCTGTCCTCGTGTGTGCATGAAATGTTGAGTTGGCCGTGTCCAGTGCGTTCGGATGTTTTCTGATTCTCCAAGCTCAGCGTGTAGCGTTCCACAGTTTCCCGCAGAGATTCGATACGTACATTTCGGGTGAGCATTGTGCACCCTTGGACCTCTCTCCACCACTTAGGCCTCTCCTTCTTTTGCTCCCTCCGTCCCTTCGGCTATCCCTCTTCTTCTCCCTTTCTCGAACGCGAACAACCCAACGCAGATACCATATGGCTGATCTGGAAAATATTCGACGATCGTGCCAATCCGAGCACCAGTCTCAAGATCACGGTGAGGACATACGTACTCCCCAACCTTGTTTTACCTTGAAGACTATTCTGGTCTTAAATTAACCTTGTTCATCTCTAACCCTTATTCTGGTCTGGGACGAAACCAACCCTTCGGTTCAAATGGCACAGATCTACCTTGGGTAGTAAGACCTGAGCTGTGACTTGTGAGAGTGAGGCGTGTTGCTTTTCTCTCCATCCTGCTCCATCATCCGACGATTGTGCTTGGTAGTCGCTCGGTATCCTTTTGTAAATTCCGTCAATGTGGTGTGTCCGGGTTGCTGTTTTTTCCGATCAACTGGTCGGCACATCCTGCTTCCGCTTCCGCCCCACCAGTACCCCCGCCTTTGCACGCGTCGTCGGTGCCACCCGTGTGGACCAGAATGACCTCTTCGCGTATCCATACGTGTTGGTGTGCTTCTACCATGGGCAAGGTTGCGGGTTCACGGACACGAGCGTGGACACGTGCGTGTCAACCGCCTTGACGGAGAGTACGACAGTATATTTTAAAGACGACTCCTATGGCGACCTCGGCGCGTACGCGGTGAGCTTGTGCTTGGATGTTCCCCTGGTCTTGAAATGTGTGAGGAAGGTGCCCACGTAGACGACCTGGGCGACGCAAGGCCGGATGGATCTAGATGTGGATCGGCCGTGCCCCGAACGTGCGTGCCGAAGCTTGTTCCTTTTCGGGGGTATTCCATCGCAGGAACGCATCCCATTGCGATGCTGCCGTCGTCGCTTGCTTGCTGACCAGGCGCAATATCTCGGATAGGTGATTCAAATCGGGTGATGTCCGCTGAATGCCTCCCTTGCCACCGACACGCCGTGCCATCTCAGTTGGGCAACTGTGTCAGCTTCGATCTGGGCAGCCTCGAGTTTGGAGATGACATCACCACAGAGAATGACGAAGTAACAATCGATGTAAGTGAACGATGTGCCTCGTACCTCTCGTCGGCGGCATGCCACAAGGTGTAGAAAATAGATAAAAGGGCGCGATCACCTGTTTTTCAAGAGCGCCGTGAGCCGGAACCACCAGAACCCAAACCTCTTGGCATTTCGCCTCCGCCTACGTAGATTGACGCGGCTTTTCGTGACGGAAACGACAACAATATCCATGGCTTGACCCGGTACGCGGTAGGTGCACCACGCCGTTTGGTAGTCTTGGGTCATCCCAGATACTCGTGGTATCTAGCAATCTTACAAAACGTGCCCTCTGTGTTTGCTGCCTGTCACGTGTCGCGCCTCCCGCGTCTTTCGCATGCAGATGTGGTGGATTCAAAGTGACATGGCATCTGATGAGACCGACTACTTGTGAGTGGCGACGTCAATCGTTGTGAAATCATGAAGCGTGCCTTGGAATGTAGTCATTTCGCTAGGGAAGATTGTTTGCATCGACAGAGAAATGACTGCGTTTATTCATGCGGTATCTGAGGTTGTTCTGTGATGTCTCCGGCCGGAACGGGAGCACCGGTCTTTGTTGGCCGAACGCGAGGAGGGCCCACGCTATTTTGGATTGTGCGATCTCCTTAGGTGCAAGTTTGTTTCTCCGTCTCCTCGATGTTGCTCTGCTCTCAATTATTCGGACGACGGGAAGCGTTCGCCGACAAATCGTGAGAATACGTTGTCGTGTCGTTTTGATCGCCATGGGTTGATTCGTCAACCGTGCATGTGCCTCTCCTGATCTCATTGGCCTGGCATCGTTTGTCTCATATCGTCTTCCTGCCGACCGCGGGTTTGGCGCCGCCATTGCTGTTGCCGCTACTGCTCTGTTGCTACTCTTGGTGTTGTGGTCGACGCTTTCACTCAGCGACCACATCGGGATGTACATGGCGGAAGAGGAGCCCACGGAGAGCACGTCGTCCTTCTTGCACGTGCCGTACAGCCGAATCCTGCCTGATGTCGAAGTAATTTATACGGTTGCAGAGCTGGTACGGTACTGCTGCTACCGCTGTAACGTAATTCCTTCTGTTGGGAACTATGACGTACCGTCTGGCATCTATTGGCCACGAAATCTACGGATGCTTTGTATCATCTGCTGTATTTTCCGGGACATACGGAACCTTCCAATTTTTCCGTCTATCCTACGGATTATCCTTGCTTCGACAACTGCTTTGAGCCGCGGATATCCGTGTGGACTTGAGGAGATGTTTATTCAGGTCCGCAATGGTTGTTTTGCTACACGTCGTGCTGTGCAGCATGCTGACCATGTCCTTGGGTTGTCGCTGGGTTGTTGCTGGGAGTTGCAAAGAATCTCCGGACGGACGGCGCGCCTTGGTCGAAGGTAGGCCCTGCCCATGGCTGACACCATCGCCGGCGGCCGCGCACGCGGGGGTGGGAGAGCTCGTGTGCGTTTTCGACGCGTTCAACGTCCAATGAACAAACGCTCTTTTGCATGTTGCCTTCGCCTTTGTCCCCTTGCCCGCCGAACGCTTCTTCGCTTAGCTTTGCATGGAATCAATGTGTGGCACGTAACACCATTTGAAACGTGTATGCGTCGTGGACAGAACAGGGGCATGACATGAGCGGTTCTTATGGGCCACTGATTGCTGTCGAAAGAGCTACGTCCCCAACGTCCCTGGGCGCAATGTCTGCGTATACATGTACGCGTTGTTGCATGTGTTCGGTGCAGATTTCCAAGGGGCTGTCTCTGTTGTTTTCCTCTTTGACTCGCGTGTTTGCCCGCAGAGCATCGGCAAGACCACGAAGAAGGCGCTCAATGGAGACGTGACGACCACCTTTCCCCCCCTCGTCCTTTCGTCGTCTGACTACACCGCGAACGAAGTGAGAAGACAACGGGCGACGCCTGACTTTTTGCGCCCGTTCACGCTCGAAAACCTAGGCCTTGGTCTGACGCTCGTCGTGCATTCGTTACCTCGGAAGCGTAGCGTGGTTTAACCCGACCATGCTTTCGCACCAACCCAACAACCAAGTGGAGATGGTGACCGTGTTTTGCCCTCAGATGTATCACCCGTGAGTTGTCCAGCTGCACTTCATACCGTCGTCTGCATCGAATGCGAGGAAGGCGGTCTCCCCAATAGACACGGATCTATCACGTATCGTCTAGCACCAACTTGTACGTGCCAGCGACGAAATATCCGTATCTACCGTTGGGCAGGAGGGTTGTGAGCGGCGTATTGTTGGATGCGTTCATTTTTCTGTCCTTAGAACCTTGGCCGAGATCCTCCCCTCGTCCATTTTTCCTATTGATGTTGATCTTGCTGTCTCGTTCTCTTCGCTCCCATTGCGCGGATTGGCAACGTGTCCCTTTTTCGTTTGTTTCGTTTGTTTCAACACTCTCCGCGCAGACTTGGACAACATCGGAGGATGATGCCCTTTCAGACCCCGCGTACGGCAGGCTATTTCTCGTTATCGACCACGGGGATTTCTCACTTACCACCATCGCCGAGGTCGACCCGTTGAATATTGGCACCGTCCTCGGCAACATCGGTGGATTCTGGGGTAGGTGGCGGCGAATGACGTTACCGACTACTACGTGGTTGTGGAGGCGTTGACTCCATGATGCCCCCAAACACCTGAAGGAACGCGTTTTTCCGATTTGATGTTAGCGAGTCGTAAGATGCAAAATATACAACTGAACGCCCGCGAAACCACTTCATCGATGATTTTGCACTGGATACGGAGTCACAGGTATGGAGGTGGCGCAAAGCTGGGAAAGATTTCGCTACTCTCCAAAACTCTCTCCATGCCCTGGTTTAATCCACCCTCACACACGTTTCGGCTACGACATTAGGGTGTAGCCAACAAGGGCATCGAAATCTCGCCTCCCTGAGCTGCATCTTTTGATGCATCTCTTGGTGCGTTATCTTTGATTCATCGTGTCTCCGTCGTGAATAGTGATTGTAGCCTGGCGAAAGCAATAGATGGGGCCACCTGCATGGTGTCCACACCCATCGTTGTGCATCGGAGGTGCAACATGCATAGTCCCCGCAAAACGTGGTTCCTTCCGTGATGAAGATATCTGGTCTTGTCCAAATGCATCCCGCACTGTATATTGTCACAACTTCTTACCAAGCAACTAGCGGCCGTCAGAATCAGATTAGCCGCCCAATCAGCGCTGCAATAAGTGAGTGTGAATGGCTTGACTTGTTGCGCAACCCATCCTTAGCATCAACGTCACTTTAGTTTTGCTTTGTTTCTCAATCGGTTCTCGACGGAATTCATCCTCGCCACCACGCCCAAATTCATGCCCACCCCCCGCCCACATCCTTGTTCCGTGCGTCGATGGCTTTTCTGTCTTCCTGCACCCTTCAGAACTGCTGCTCGTTTTGTGGGGGCTCTTCTTCATCGCCACACAGGAGGAACGTAAACCAAAGATGAAGGCTCGGGACTTCGCCAAGACAGTCCAGACCGCGAAGAAATATTTCACCAGGCGCCGGAGCCTTTCTGTAGACTCTGCTGCTGCTTCTATGACCTCGGCCGTCGAACAGAGGCCTCAATGGGAAGCCGCGTTCCGAGGTGACACTGCCGCCGTCCCCCAGCTCGGCGGAGACAACACGGCCGTTCAGACTGTGCCTCCTGTGAACGACGGTGGCGCAAGCACTGCCATCCGCCGAGCTTCCAACGATAGCAGGGGCAACGGCAGCACGAGCAGTGCTCGTTTTCACCGCGCTACGGTGAGTTTGGGAGACAGGATGACCTTAGTTTCGTGAATCGACATGCTGTCGTTGTTGGTGCTGGCGGTTTGACTGGAACTGTAGGAACCTAGACTGGTGTTCCAGGTGCTCCGGCGAGTCCTTAGCTCGCTCTCGATTTCTTTGCCTGCTTGTGTGGGTGAACACAGTGAGCACGGCGTGTTCTTCGCACGTCAACATTTTCTTGTCCCCTCTCTGATAACCATTGCGTCCCGTGTCCGTAACCTATCGTAATGCCAGAGTGGGATGACTGACCCCCACGGTAGTTCCTCAAGCTTCAACTTCAGGCGTCCGGTGGTGCTAGACATGCCCAGACGCGGCTCGAGAACTGGCGGCAGCCTTCCCGAAGTACAACCACGCGCCCCGCCAAGCCACGATGAGATGTCCGCCAAATAGAACAAGGTCCTCCGGTCCAAGGTTGCACACGAATTGCAAACCCAGCCTGTCACTATCTCCATCTCAATTCCGTACCGGTGGCGGCCGATGTATCGGCGGATGACCCCGTAGACTGACCCGTAACACCTTCTTTGTGTATGAACGCCAGGGCAATCTCAGCGGCAATATTTCCCCTTCTCGATGGTCGCCTTGGAGCGGTATTGGACTGATTTGTGAGTATTGCGAGACGTTTTCATCTATTTGGTGTCAACTTTGTTCAGAGCAGCACAGGATGCTACGTCACACCGGAATGCGTCGCCCCAGTCAGGCTCATCTGCTTGTGGAACATGCACCGAAGCGGCTAAAGGCATGCAAAAGCTGCCGCGGGCAGTCTCTCGGCAATAACCCGTCTGTACTCTGTAGCTTCTATTTTACTTCTTAGTACGAAATTTCGAAGTGAATCCCCCGCTGATATAACTTGTAATAATCACCGGTGGAACCTCTGTCGTTGTACTACCACTAGCTGCGGTGTCTCGGCCAGTTAGAATCCGACACGCGTTTCTCTGTCGTGGGTACGTTGTTTTTATCATTTTGCTGTTGGATACGCTTTTCTTTTCGTTTTGTTTCCTATTGGGTATATTTTGAGCAAGAAATTTCGAATTTTTTCCCTCGCTGGCGTATGTTGTAGAATTCACCTGTGGTACCTCCGTCGTTGTGATACCACTAGCTGCCGTGTCGCGGCCACTTGGAATCCGGCATTTATTTGTTTACGTCCGTCGGTGCACATGGGTAACATGTTTTTTTTTCATTTAGCTCTTGGGTACGCTTTTCCTCTCTTTTTTTTACTATTGCAAGGGTATATTCGGCTCCTTGTTGTTCGCTCTCTTTGCATGGTGACAATTGTGCGGAGGTTTTCATGGAGCGAAATAAAGTCTGTGGATCTGGCGCGGTATACTGTAGTTTGGGTTTTGTGGCAGCAACATATATTGCCGTCCGCAGCCATGGTCTTTAGTGCACCTTGACGTGGTGAAAACGTCGAGAGAGACGAGCCAGAATGACTTGTGAACGGTGGTTGACCACTTTCCCCTAAAAGCCACACAGCACTTGCCCGTTGCCGTCTGATCCTTGTTGACATACATGATTAGCGCGCAAACTAGTTGTGTACCCTCGTCGGCATGTTTCACAGGTTCTCGCTAGTCGGTTCCTAATCCTAGCGGGTTACGAGGCGCCCATGATCCCGATGACTTTGTGGTTCATAATGATATGAAGCGGGTCTGTCTCTCTCGCGTTGATAGGTTCCGGAGTTGCACTTCACTGTAAGTACGAGTGAGTGCGGAGGAGGGGACGCGGTCATATGTTCAGCGTTGATTGAGTCTCCGAAGGTCCGACGGATCTGCGTATTTATCCCTACCTGAACTGTTGTAATGACGTTGTGCAGCCAACGCAAAGGAACAAGATAACTTCCCCCAAGAAGTTTCCCGACGCATGTATGCGTGCGCGAAACTGCCGACGACGTACTGTAGAGATCGTTCATTGCGGTACGGGGTTCCTCTCACGGAGTGCCGTTTACACGTTCTGTTCCTCTCACGGTGTGCCGTTTACACGTTTTGAGTCTCATGCACCGACAGCATCGGCAACACCAACGCGAGATGTATGATAGTGGCCGCCTACATAAAACTGCTTGAGATCTGTTCCACACTAAACGCAAAATAAACGAGACCCTCGGTCTGCGGACGCTTCCACAGCAGGAGTAGCTCAAATGATCGCATTATGTGGCAGGTTCGTCCGTCGGCTCTTCTCCTCTCGGGGAGCATAGAGTGCTGCACGCTCCAATCGCTACGTGCATACAGAGTACAGCGACGAAACAGGGGGTGCACACCCCATCGGCAAGGCAAGACAAATGAGCTTTGTTGCATATAGAGATGTGGTTTGTGAGGCGCGCGCGCCCACAGCGTATAGGCGGAGAGAGCGTATGAGCGGGGGGCGCGAGAGAAAAGATCACCACGCGGAGAAATCGACTTGCGCCGAATTCGAAATGAATGGCGGTTGGATGAAATCCAAGTGAAAAGAGGGGTGTTTGGCTCTGGCTGATACTTCTAGAGTCGACCAAGCAGGGGGGCGAAACGGTGGCAGCGACAACCTCGCCTCATATTCAGCCAAATGGGAGTCCATATGACCTGTCAATGTGGCCACAGTCAGAGCCCCAAGATTCAAAATCCTACATGAGCGTGTCGGCAGTCCAAAGGAATATATTTGGCGCTTTGAGAATGCTGGCGAAAAGCGAAGCCGAACAGCGCTATGCAGAAAAAGGCGCTGTGTCCATGGGACGGAAGGTGAGCAGCGGATCACAGACTGCAACTCTGTTGATGGAAATTCCCTGTCACGAATGTCGACCAACTCTGCTGTTTGATCAGTGGAACACTGCTGTTTCGATGGAAAAGTGATGATAGTCTAATCTGTTCAAAATGGAAGTAAAAAGTGATGGCCATCACTGTAGACTATTCGGTTCAATTGAACTTATCAGTTTTTTTTCCATTTTTTTATCACTACCACCTACAGCAGTGTACGACCCACTGTACGGCAAGCATCGTCAACCACCGACTGCGGCCACAAATTTCACCTTTAACTCCGGGGTGCCTTCGACCATTGGCCTCCTGCAACATTTTGCACGTAGGTGGCGAGTGTGTGACCTCGGCGTGCAAGCAGCTACACGTATGTACATCTTCACATTTGTTCTTCCCGCAAATATCATCGTTTGTTCAACCTGCCCTTACCATCCATCGTTAGCAACGAGCAGGCGCACATTGAACGTCAAATCTCGCCCTGGCTGCCGGATTATGTGGTGAGACATTGATAAGAGGAGTGTGTCTGGGTTGTGACACATGTGTTTACCCTGTTCGTGTGTCTGGATACGAGCATGGTAGATCTGCTAGCAGCACGGGGGGGTACGTAGACAGGAGCATGCGTATGCCGGAAAAAGGCTACTACGTGTGGGCCCCCTTCCCCAATGCGGGAGAGCCTCTTCTTCCCGTCCTTTCCTCGCTCCCGCGGGTGCCTAATCAGCGAGAGTTCAAGCGTGTCTTCTCCTCCCAAGTACGGACATACCAACACACTAGTGTTTATTCCCTCGAGGGAGTCCATTAGGGATGGCGGGCCGCAGAACCGGAGGGACCACTCCGCACGGCTCGCAGGCAGGAGACACAAATAGCATCGAGCAGATCGACAGCATGCGGTCTGAGATCAGTTCGCTGACATAGCAAATGGGCCAGCTGGTGCAGCTGGTCGGAGGACTTGCTGCACGTATAGAGGAGAAGTCCGGCGGTGCCACGGAGGGCGCCGCTGAAAGCGGCGGCGCCGTGGAGAGCGTCGCCACAAGCACTGCAGGTCATTTTGGGACCGTGCAGTACGACGGGAGCGCGCAGGCAGCGGACCTGCGAAGAGAGTCTGGTCCTTCGGGACGACACAGCGGCGAAGTAGGGGGTTCAGACCCCCAAGAGGTGAGAGTAGCCGCTGCTCACAATCAAGCTTGTTTCAGCAGCGCCATGGGAAGTGGTGCTATGTCTTCGGTAGTGCGAGCATGGATGGGATACCAAAGCGTGAAGTACACAGCGCCCACGTTTGGCGGAGACGCCAAGAGTTTTTCTTCGTGGTTAGAAGATTTTTTTATGGCAGCGAAGACAGCAAACCTTCTTGAGCTTTTCGAGGAGGAGGGGGCGGAGATCCCCGTAAACAGTGGGCAGAGCAAAGTCCAACTGTCCAGGTTTTACCCGCACGACAAAGTAGAGCTCGCTTTCCACGCGTGGAATTTCCTCCGTGGAGCTCTCAAGGACGAGAAAGACAGGACAATAATGAAGCGAGCTGAGTCGCCCCTGGGGGCGCTCCGTGAGCTGAAGGGGTTGTACGACCCAGAATCGTCCATGCAGCCTGCGGATGAGTTAAAACCTCTGACATCCAAGACGATCCCGATGGCAGAGAATCCGCAACATGCTCTCAACAGTATGCTCGCCACCGCAGAGTCCCTTTCGAAACGGGGCCTTGATGTTAGCGAAACCTTCGTTTTGCACCTCTTCTTGAATGCCCTCTCCAACGAGTACGCTTTGACCAAGCACGCCCTCAGACACAAGGAGAGGTTGACAAGGAGT